CCAGAAGACAAGCTGTAGTTGTTCCATAATGCAGCAGTACAGGTTGCTATGGACACTTCTTGCTATGTATATATGACATCACCATTCTGCAAGCTGCACAAGAAAGACTAGGCTTTCTTGAGATAGGTGATAGTGACAGAATCTTGAAATATGTGTTTTCCTTCCCTCTCAAGGAAGCATCAATCTTGAGTTTCTTATACTTTCCTCATCTTAAAGCCTATTTCAATATCTGTTGCTAAGCTAACAACTTTCTGGCCTAAGATCATCTCCATGACTCGGTACACTGACCCCAAGACAGCAAGATTATCAATAGCCTTTCTAAAGAGAAAACGGTTGAGGCCAACATATATCAGGAGGATGGTAATTCCATAAATTAGGGTCTGGTCCTCCTGGTTACAAGAGGAGATTGTTTCAATAATGGAAGTTGCCTTCAAGTTTCAAGTTTATTAGAATTTGTATGCCACCCACTCCCATAGGGACTCGCCTTCCTTATCACAGTGTATAGGTCCTCTGAAGAGGTGGGCTTCAAGTAACTGGTTGTATGTAGGGTTTTAAAGAAGATAACCTGTACCTATCCAAAAGCCAATTATGATCTAGTGCAGCTTGCAGAATGGTGGTGTCACATAGACATAGAAAGTAGTGGCCATAGCAACGTGTACTGCTGAATTCTGGAACAATTGTACCTTCTGGATGATCTTTAAGGGCAGCCCCTATATAGACCTACTACAATAATCTAATTGGGAGTGACTAAAGTGGGAATGACTATGAGCAGGCATACAAATCCCGAAATGGGCACAACTGACTTATTAAATTGTACAAAGGATCATGTGGCCTTAGCTACCACCTGAATATCAAGTAGTTGTGTATCAGTTCTGGGACCCAAGGAGCTCAAAACATACAGCTGTTAGCAGCCCAGTGCTGTTGTTTTATAACCTTGTGCCAGTTTTTATTTGATTTTATTTCTTTATTTCTAATATGCAAAAGTTTTGTTGTGGCTACTATCCTCATATATACTTTTAAATAATTAGGCTGAAAGGAAAAGAATGTCAAATGTTGTTTTTAATAACTCTAACTCTGAACCAAGAATTTGGGGGTGCACCTTATCATGCAAGGTTGAAAAATATTCCACAATGTCCTAAATACTGGTAAGCAAAATCTGTATTTAAGGTTTGCTGACATTTATAACAGGGGCTCCGACCCCCAGGCCACAGACAGGTACCAGGAAGAGGGCTGCACAGCTGGAATTGAGCGGCAGGTTAGCAAGTGAAACCAAAACCATTCCCCCTCATCCGTGGAAAAATTGTCCTCCATGAAACCGGACTCTGGTGCCAGTGGTCCTTGGGGACCACTGATTTATAATAATCTATTTCCAGTTTTAAAAAATCTTATTAATGCATTTATTTCATTGCCCATTTTTGTACATCTAACATGGCTTCCGACAAAAGGACGAATAATGTTGACTGCAACACCTACCGGATATTTACTGTGAAGTAAATCTTAGGCTGCAATCTCATACACACTTACTTGCATTAAATTCAGTGGAGTTCATTTGTAGGCAATGATAAAGAGACTGTACTCTTAATAAATTTTCACCATAATTTTGAAAATATATTTTTTTAAAAACCCTCCACCCTTCGATCCTTTTATGCTTCCAACCAAACATGAAACAAACTGATTTAGTTGTAGCAAGCAAAAGCTTGTAAAAGAATATAAGACAGCTGAAATATTTGACAGACATCATTAAACGCCAGGGGATTTGTATCAGCCATTTTACTTTAAACAGAGCTTTGAAGTTGGCTATCTTTCATGTATTTCTTTCATGGTACATTAACAAAGAAAACTGAGCGGAGGTAAATCAAGTCCCAAGGTCACCTCTAGAGTTACAGCACCCTGGGTACTTGATGAATTAAGAATTAATGCCGCATGAGTAGCAAACATAATGAAAACTATGGGCTGTTAACCAATCTAGTTTTACAAGTGGATCTGAACCCTTTTTATCTGCAACCAGAGCAAAGACCTCTTAATCCCTCCCACCATGGTCTTGAAATATAATTATCATAATGTGAACCTAAATGTTAAGTTGCCCTTCAAACGCAGAGAGTGCTGTGAAGCAGAAAAGTAAAGGTAATTAGGCGAGGTGAAATACTAGATATATTATAGGGGGAGCAAGAGGACTCGAAAGTGGCATTTCTTAAAAAATCCAGAGAGAATAAGGCAGATCTTCAGCAATATAGCACAGATTATAGTCAAAATTAGAGCACAGAGATTTACACAGGAAACTATGAAATGTCGGAGAATTAGAACATTAAACCAAAGTGTTCGCAAATGAAAGGCCACACGTGAAAGCTAAGATACAACCCCATTAGGAAAGCCCAAGGCATTTATTATTGATATTCCAGTTGCTTCAGCAACTGAATACAGTTTATTGGAAATTAGATCTCAGGTGGAGTTTTCTCAATTTTGGCAACATAAAAGATGATCAATAGCTGCCCATTTCTAGAGAAGTGGGGGGCTGGGAGGAAAGGGAGGTTTGACCAAAATCTAAAATTAATAGCACAACAAAAATCATCTCAAATTAGAAAAGGTGACAGGAAAACCAGCTACAAAGTCTTTCCTTAAGCCTTAGGCTTTGATGAGCACCATGCTCCCATAGGATTTAACAGCTAGCTAACTGTTCATCTGATTTGTATACTATTCTTTTCTTTTTTAATATTTAATTTTGTATAATGTCCAGAGTAGAAGAGTTATCTTTTAAATAAATGTATAAATATTGTATTTTAAGTTCTGCAATTTTTAACCTTACATAAATTAATTTTTATATCTTTAAATAGGATGTATAAGTCATTCAGGGTCTGGCATATAAGCCTATAACAGGGAGATGGGACTCCCTTGTTTAGTATTTTTTTAATATTTGCTTTGTGATTTTTTTTGTAGTTATTTTTGTACTTGAATTATTTTTTATACTGTGCTGTTTTTATGTTATGTTTTTATGTTATTTATTGTTGCGAGCTGCCCAGAATTTGTATGTTTATTCAACATACAAGTTGAATAAATAAAGTAAATAAATACACTTCAACATTGTTTTAATCAATTATAAGCCAAGAAAAATATTTTGTAAATGCACCATAGAAACCATTGAGTGTATCTAGGAAGAAGCTTAATATCTTTTAAATCATGGTACATATGATTCATTGTTATTTAAAATAAATATTTATACATAATTATTTATTTCAGACTGTAAATCTAGACTCGTCTATCTAAGAATGTCCACTGAGATCAATGGGAGCTAATTCAGAACATATATGCAGAAGGGGAGATAGATGTTTGTGACTATTGCTGCCACAAATTTCAGTATACACAATAAGGATTATGGGATTAATAATTCAAGATATCTTGAAAGCACAGACTGCCACCTTAAACATTCAACTTTCTATTTTTTTTAAAAACTGCATTTGATCTTCACAGTAACCTTGCCTGCTTTCCCCTAGTCTTTTTCTTAACCACAGTGTCAAAAGCTTTACATCTATTTTTTTAGTGACACATACTTTATTGTTATGCTCAGGACCTTAAAACTATTAACAATTATGAAAACCAGATTCATAAACTAAGAATTTAGCTTGTATCAAACAAACGAAAGAAATAAAAGCAAGAAAGTTTGTATGTTGCTTGTTCTCTGCAAGCATCAGTGTTATTCCTTCGAAAGAGTACAGGCAAGAAGCATAACAATGAATACTCTTTTTTATTATAAGCTTACATGAACAGAATCTTGCAAGGCTGAAAATATTTCTCCTATCCTTTTCTTTTGTGTGAGTCTTCAAGTCAACTCTGACTCCTGACAACTGACTGGAGAAGTCCCTGCAGTTTTCTTGGAAAGGTTTTTCAGAAGGCACCATTGCCTTTTTCCTAGGACTGAGTTAGTCTGCCAACTGATTTCATGTCTAAGACAGGACCACAACTCAGAGTCTCCCAATTTCTAGCCTGATGCCTTATCCTTTACATCAAACTAACTCTCCCTCCTCTTCTTTTACTCTCTGGAAAATTAGAGGATGGAGCCTTCTGAAATGCTTCATATACTCCCTTTCTTTCTATGGGCGGAGACAGACTTTACATGCCAAATATCCAGTGTGCAAGTCTTCCTCCTTTTGGGGTTCCAGCACTAGCTCTAATACAAGGTGATGATAACAATCAGAAAGTTCTTGGGTGGGAAGCAAACATTCTAGCAGGGTTATCACTCACACTAGACACTCTGTAGAAAACACAATAATCACCATCACTGCCTGCGATAGCTGCTATTTTTTTCTCCTCTGATTCTTCTTGGAAGAGAAACTACATTCTGCTATGTCTTACTCTGGAATAAGGGAGAAATGCTGGCAATAGTTGGTAGGGCTACTTTAATAAATCTGTCCCAACATCTAAGGAATTCCGCCAAATAGCATCACCCAATATAGCCTTTATGCTATCCTACACGTCTATGTAATACAATGCATCCTAAAAACAAACAAACATGGCCTTTATATTTAATTTTATCTTAATATGAATGTTGTATCAACAACCTCTTTAATCTGGCTGTTTCAAAAGTCACAAGAAATGTAAAAAATTTTCAAAGTCTTAATAAAAAGGATATTTCAAAAAACATGAGAAAGAAAAAAAACCTGATTTGGTATTATTTAGACATATATTTATCTTTAAACATAAAGACTGTGTCCATACATTTTCCAGAATTGTTTGTCAGTATGTTATAGGAACTGACCCACTGTTATGTCAATCAAGCTATTAGGCGATGCCTTATTTTGGTATAATTGTCTAGTTATGGCATGTTATATGAGCACAAGAATGGTATTTTATTTACCTGGGGTTATGGGTTAGATCTGAAAACAGCCATGTGGAGTAGATGGTAATACGATATGTAAAGGATTTATCATCCCAAAACATTTCTATAAAAACAAATTCTACTGGACTCCAATTAAAATAATGAAATACCATTTTATGTATTTTCTTACCAGTAAGTGACATCCAAAGGTGCGAAGTATTTCTTCATAATTAAATCAGCAAAATAAGCTTCAGTTTCCCTACAAGCTGTTCCATTGCCAATCACAATAGTGACACAGCTTTTAAGAGAGAGAGGGAGGAAGGGAGGGAGAGAAAGAATTAGCATTTAAAATTAAGGTCATCTAAGACCATCATATCCTCCATCTTCCATTTTTGTTTCCCTTCCCACAAAACCTCTTCCAATTCTAATATGGAAAAGGAAATCTGCTTGCCTTAAAAAATATGGAGGCTTTGTATTCTTCCAAAAAGAGTTGTATGTACTTTTTTCTTTTCTCATCAAAGTACTCATAGAAATAGTACACAAGTGAGGAAGGTATGAGACATATGTATGAGCATGTAATGGCAATGAAATCCAAATGCACTTACATCTATTCTTGACACGTCACATTAAAGATAAAGTAGCTAGTAGCTGACCACAGCTGACACAAAGACCTAATACAAGTTGCAGGTGAACTCCTGCAACTAGAAGCTGCTTTGTTAATATGGGAAATTTACATTAGAGAAGGAAGTGGAATATGAGACCTGCTACTCTCTTAACCACAGATGTATCAAATGTGTTGTACCTGGCTAGGCCCCAAATTAATGGAGCAATTTGAAAACTTTCTGCTTTGAAGTAGAAATGTAGTACCTTCCTTTACAAAGGACCAAACTCACTATTCCGGTTCAAATGAAATATAAACAGGCCTTTTGCCTTCATTTGTAATCCCGTCTCTCTTTCATTTGTGGCATTCCTAAAATATATACAGAAGGTTCTAACTAAACTTTACCATTTTATTCCCTCTAGGAAATTAGCAGAGCCTGACACCTAACAGTAGCCCTCATTACCTCATTAACACATTTATATTTTTCCAAATATTCCAATAAAAATTCTAAAATATCGAGAGCAACCTAATTTGTCTTCTATGCTGCTGATCAGCAGTAAAACATACTGTATAAGGAAAAGCAACATTATGAATAACATACTTGTGATCCAACAGAAGTCTCCGGATCTTCTCAGCTTCGTGAATTCCTTTACCAGAATGCAAATAGACAATATCTGTATGGAGTATCTGACCTAAGGTGAGAATAAAAGAAATGTACATTTATTTTCCTACAATCAATAACAGCTATGGTTGAACATGGTGGGAACAAACCTCAAGAGCCTTGGGCATCCATGTTCCCCAGTTCCCACCTCCCACTTTATTATTCAATGAATCAAAATCAATCAAAGAATTTATTTCACCTTCCTCAACCAAACCAATACAGATAAATTTAATGAGAATTGGCATTTTATCATCAAGATACCAAGTTTTTGTTCAAGTGTAGTTTTTTGTTTGATATTGTTAGCAAGGGTGATATCTAATCAACTCATCCAGTTGTATGAGAATGAGAATTGGGGGGGGGGGCGGAGAAATGTGCAATGACTGTGGATTATGCATGATAATTTCTCCCAATATTTTATGGATACATATACCTGTTTAGTTCAGTAGAAGCTGTGGAAAAGGACTGAGTGGCATTAATGGGGTGGCATTCTCAACAGAAGTGTGGCCACTTAGTTTTAGGACTGCAGCCAAGTAATAAAATCTTTTAATTATTTGATTGTGTAAAGTGCCAGCGATATTAGAAATGGGAGGAGTTAAGTAAGGATAACATACTTCTCATGCTTTACCATCTACATCCATTGGGTATCAAACTATTTTTCTTGTGCCTTCAGTTCTGAGAAAAGCTACGGGAACATTTTTCCAACCTTTTATTTTCAAGAAATGCTATCCAGCCTTATGTGCAATATGTTGTACATCATCTCTCAACAGTGGCAATTTAGTTAAATGTTATTATTTAAAGTTGAGTCCTGAATTTGTAATATTGTGGTGATAAGAAAGGGCAAACTTACTTGATTTTTTTGGGTGACACTACAAGTTTTAAGTATCCCTGCTACTAATACTATTGTGAATCACATTTTTGTTGAAATTATTTAAGTTTTAGAAATATGAATTGTTGTTTTATTTAATTTCTATGGCTGCCTAATACCCTAAAGCAATTCTAGGTAGCTAACATGAAACGCTAACAACAGTAATAGAAATAAAAACATATATGCTTTCTGGCTATCAGACACATCATACTACCTCCCAAGATGGGCAGAGCTAATATCCAGGCTGAAATGCCAAGGGGGGAAAAAAACAAGGCTTATAATGCCTTCTTTAAGGCTAGCAGAATGAAAACTCCTATCACATACCACAAATTGCTGTAATATGCTTAACAACTTTGAAATTTCTTATTTGGAAAAGCAAGCATGAAGAAATATCATTGGAACCAGTTGTTGCCTAAATCACACTCATATGAATTTTTCTAATATATTGCATGCGCTTTCATTCTGTTCCAGGAAGGCAGTCCAGCTGGTAAAAATGCTGGGAGCAAGTAGTAATTATGATTATTCATTGGTTTCTTCTACAGAATGAATTAAGAAGGAGCCACAGACCTTTCTCCCAGTAACAATGAGAGATGCTGTCTGACTCAAACTGCCATTGGTAGACTCATGAGCAAAGCTTTTATATTGGCAATTTCATTATCAAAAAAAAGGGGGGGAGATAAGTCTTCATTTATTATCAAACCTCTTTTTCTCTCAAGAAATTCACAGTAGCCACATTTACTGAGTATCATTCAAAATATCTCTTTAACATATGCAGGTCTAAAAACTGTCAGCTTTAATATGGATAGCCTTAGTGTATTATATTTAGTTTCCCATATCAAAGATATAAGTTTCTATGTGTGAATGGAAGATGCCAGGTTCAAATAAATCTGGAGAACATCGGTTGAAGAAAGATGTTTTATATCCTATATGACAAGTAGCACTTCTCTCAGATGGCACAGAAGACTTACTGGTTGGTGAAATAATTGCTAGCTTGCAGCCATGTTTATACCCAGGATCAACTCCCATCATTGTTCGCCCTCTCACAGGGCTTGTTAGAAGCAACTGACGAAGATTCCTTCCAAACATCATTACTGATTCCTTTTCAGCATCTGAAGTTAGTTTTGATCTGATAAGGGAGCAAAAAAGGTCCAGTTTTTCATAAATATGCCAAATGGTTTTTGCTTTTTATTTTCACTGAAAAGTTCCTAGGCCATTTTCTCTGACCTTTCTATTAGTTTATGTCATAAACAAATACACCTGGACATAGTCACCTAAGAGACATTTGATTCTTGAACTTGACTCAAATGAAGCTTTATTTTAATTTCCACTTATGTGGAAGAAGGACTCACAAAAACACCGGTGCCCATAAATGTACTTTGAATTTACATGTTTGAACCTGAAATCACAATTTATTCCTACAATATCAAAAATTGCAATTTCAGCTAGTAAAAAGAAGCCATTATATTGTCACTGATAAAACAGAATGGCTTCCTACTCTGTAGTCATTACATAGCAAAGTTGAGCCCAATATTATGCCAATTAGATTGTTAATCTAAGAATGAAAAATGACAGACACAAAGATATTTATAGCAGGAGCAATTAGTCTCCCCACTTCTCTTAAAAGAAGTATGACAAATGGGATTAGATCGACATGGAGAGCACTACTGAAACAGCGATTGTGAAATGGATATAATGAAAACAATTTTAGTAGCTCAGCAGTCTGCATCAAGACCATTAGACCATTAGAACAATCTTACTCAATGATAGCAGAGGAGAAAAAAATACACATTAAAAACATAAGCAAATTGCAGTTTGGATATGCAAACTGTCAACATTCCCTATTTCCCCATTTTCCATTTCCACTTTCGTCTTTACCCTTTGAACTATTAAGAAAAAAATGTCTTCAACTTGCCAATGCTTGCAATTCTTAGTGTCTGAAGAGCAAAGAATGAAACTGTTCCTGGAAAAACAACATGTGTCAAAAATCCTTTTGCTATCTCAGTCCTACAAACCTTCTTAGAAATAAATCCTATGGATTTTAGTGAACATTAACATGTACCTTGGAGTGTCTGGATAGACTTGGGGAAAGTATAACGTATATCAATTTACTATTGATGAGAATATGGTATTATAGCAAAATCTGGATTAAATAGACATATGGAACTTTGGTATGGTATCTCCCAGCATCTATTTCAAGATCTCCTAAGTTAAAGTCAAACAGACAATACACCTTTGCATGGTTGCATGAACCACCAGTAATACACGGGGTTGTCACTTTCAGTGCATTTCAGTCAAAACTATCCAGCTTCAATTATTTTAAAATTAGAGAAATCCGTATGTGTAAATTATCCAAAGCTCATAGCCAAAAGGCAGTATGTCACTGAACATCATTTTTGGAAGACAAGAGAGGGCTCCTATATCTTTTTTCCTACTTGTATTTCATAAACATTTAGTTTAGCCCCTCTGAAAAACCTAGATTTGCTAGGTTTGTAGTCTGACTATTAAGGACTACTAAGTTTTTACTTAGTTTTACTTTTAATAATGAACATATATTGCTTTACCTGAATTCTCTGCAGAGCAGGGGATAAATAAGACGCTTATATGAATCTTCTATTGAGTAGCGCAGTAGTTCCATTAATTCAGGGTTGGCAAAGGCCTTCGGTCTCCATCTGTAAATTAGATTTTTTTTTCAAAAACTGTAGTCACTCTGGCAATCTTTTAAATCAAACCATGTCAAAAACATCAATAACAATAGGTACTGTAAATAGGTAAACCCACTAAGTGAACTCAAAGAAGTGCTTTTCCACATAATGTCCATGACAACTGTCAATCACGAATTCCTATAGAACTGTCAAGTCTTTTTTTAGATTACAAATTCAAAATCAATCCAGGTAACTCCTGCTGATATAATACCCAGTATGGGTAGCATTTATGAGCTAGCAGTTTCCACATCAGATTTTGACCAACCTCTCTATGGGTCTCTTCTATCCCTATTGTTATCCCTGTTGCTATCCCATTCCATTATCAGCCCTAATACTACTCTTCTTCCTCATTTGATATTGAATAATACACTCCCAGTTTACATAAATAGTAAAGTGGGAGTAAGGAAAATAATTTGTCTGTTAATGATATATCACATACAAATGTCAATGATTCAAGAATTAAGATATGTAAATATTCGCAGAAGAGCTAATAAATAAAGAATAAGCAACATATAACTCAAAAGCCCTATGTAATTAGTGGAACTTCTTCCCTTTAAAAAGACAAATCAATGAGTTGACAACCTACACTACACCACATTATTTACAAAATGAAACCTCATAATTTGAAATTCTGAAATAATGTTTTCAGAATATCCACTTTTTGACACCCAAAAAGTATCTAATTCTTGGCACTTTAATATTTGGTACTAGAATCAAGTAGGTAGGGAATCTTACACAGAAAATGTGTATCTTGCCCCCATAGTCACATGATCATATCTTGGGTGCCACTTTTACAGCCCTTTGAGTGTCCCACAGTCACATGATTACAATATGTGATATTTTTTGCCAACTTCTGGTGTTTACTTTTGGCTTCTGGCAAAAAAAGAAAAAAGCCCATTGGGGGAAATTGGATAACTGATGTATTCGCTTAACAACTTCTATGTTCGGTTAATGACTGCAGCATTTGCTTAATGACTCCCCCAAAAATCGGGTCTGATCACATGATGCTTTGATTTACAACCACAACAAGTTACAACTGTAACTTCAGGCTCAATTACACTTGTACGTTGAGGACTATGTGTACACAGGCTAGAATTAATGATGGACAACTCCTTAGTCTATGTGGGAAGCCAGAACCCCTACCATGCAGATAGCCAAAATACAATTGCCTATCCTCATCTTGAAAAACTCAAATTCAGATGAAATTTTTAAAAAATGTATTCAGTATGCTCCATTAATGAGAACAATAGAATATTGACATGGATATATTTATATCCCTACACAAACCTTTCATTTACACACCACCTAGAAAATTCATTTTTCACTCCATCAGGAACGTTGACCTTTACTTTCAAGATTTTCAGATTCTCTCCTCGGTTAATAGCCAGGATCTAAATCCAAAAATAAACAGCAAGAATTTATGACATATAGTGATAGAGATAAACACTTATAGATGCCAAAAGATTAAAAGTATCAGCCAATCAATATTTCTGAATTCCAAATCCTATAAATCTGTATTACAGGATAAACTAAAGAAAAATATTCATTTGGACCCAGAGATGATATCCTCAGTTATCATTTCTCCCACAACAAAATTGCAAAATAAAACTTTGACAAATAAAGATAAACTGTACAGCTGAACTTGTATAACATGTATAAATGGCAGGATCCAACTTTTCTTGGAATAGAGCCTGTGATGCTTAGATTGCTGGCTTTTTATGGACATATATCCATGGCATAATTGCAGCTGTTAATCCTTGATCCAAGGGAATTAGATAATTGTCCTCCAATCTCAAACCTCTCCATTCAGGGGACTGTAACTATAGAAGAAATGGCAATTACACCTCTGAAAAATATGGAACATTTACACCTGTGGCAGTCTGGTTTTGGACATAGCATGGAAACTGTATTGGTCACTCTCATGGATGACCTATGATGGAACTTGGAGGGAAACAAGGAACATTTCCTCCTAGAATTCTAAGCAACCTTTGATACCATCAACCATAGTATTGTTCTGGATTCCTTGTGAGGATTAGGGATTGGAGTTACCATTTTGAGTGGCAAGTGCAGTTAGCAATTCTTCAGGAGTTAAGAGGAAATGCCAACAAGCATCTTATTATGGGGTGACTCAGGGCTTGAACCTTTCTTCTATCAGTTAACATCAGGAGCCTGTTGGAAGTAGTCATTTGTTGGTTTGGCTTGAAGTGTCAAAGTGCTGTTTAACCTCATCCTAAACCTAATGAGAAGTCCTCATTCAGTGTCTGGAGATTGTCAGAATCTGAGTGGCCAAAACAGACTCAACCCAAACAAAACAGAATGACGATTTTAATTCAAAAATCTACCAATTCCAGGATTGTACAAGCTTTACTCCTCAATGGATTTGTGCTTTTCTAGGAAGAGCAGGCTCACAATCTTTTTAGATTCTTATCTTCTACCCAAAGAACAGGCAAAATTGCAATAATTAGTGAAATGATCAGTCGTGGCTGGTACACCTGTTACTTATCTGGACTACGATGTTGTGATACAGTCACTTTTGCCCTTGCCAGTTATATTGTGGTAATTGCTATCCTTGTTGATTTCAGTTGGTCCAGAATTCAATGGCTCAACGTGGTCACAGGGAAGATACTGCCACATTATACCACTGTTGCAGTAGCTACACTGATTAACTGTTTCTGAGTGCAAATTATAGTGCTGCTTTTAAAGACCTCTATGACTGAGGATATTGGTAACTATGAGATTGTCTTTTCCAGATAGTTTTATCTACCCTATCTAGATACCTGGGAATATCTACTGAGGGTTCCCATCTTTGCAGCAGGAGTGGGCTATAGGGGTTTATTTCTTAAGAAACAGGCTATTCCTGAGAAAAGGATGGAACAAATGGATATAGCTTTCTGGAAGCTAATAAAAAGCTGGCTCTTTCAAGGGCTTTGGAGGTTTAGCTGGGGAGCCATATCTATATTAGATAAAGCATTATGACTTATTTTAATAAAAGAAAATGTATATAGTCCAAAATTATACTGTGGACTCCTTTGTGCTGTCTGAACTTGTTATTTCGTTATCTGATTAGGTAATAGTTGGATGATGAAACATCTACAAGCAAACACCCAGGCTCAGAGAGTACCAAGGACTCCTTATTATGACTTATTATTGTAATTTAATTATGTTTATTAATGTTTTATTAAACTTTATTATCTCTATCTCCTTTCCAGTCTGAGATAGAGATAAATCACATTTTAAAAAATTAAATACCAGACTGATTTTATGCAGACTATTAGCATTTAACTCAGTATGTGAGAAAGATAGAGATTAGTAATATTTAAACAGACAGACACATTCCTTTGTATGTATCTCCTTTAACTGAGGTACTGAATTCAGATGTAATTAAGCAGCTAAGGACACTGCTAAATTCTGGGGACATGTCATCTTAGATTATAAATAATATAGAATATAAAATATAAAATTAATTAATTAATAAAATTAAGGCAAAAATTGTATCAAAGGATTCCAAGTGAGTTCAGTATAGAATTCATATATTCAAATAATTATTTCTATAACATTGCAATATTACTGCTCAGCAGATATTTCTCAATCACACAATTTAAAAAAAAACCTCTAAATTGTGCATTCATTGACTTCAATATAAATTTTCCTTTTATAGTTTTCTAGTCTTAATATTCAAATATTCATATCTCATGTTTAACAGGTACTTGAGCAATCAAGATCAATCATATTCCCCAAAGCTGTACAGTGTTTCTTTAAACATATTTTGGTTCTTTTCCAGATATTTAGTTGATAATTTATCATTAATTTTCTTAAATTTTGTACGTGGTATCCTCTACAACACTGCATGTTCAAAGAAATTGCTATCATGTAATATGACTGAGAATCTCCATAGACTAAAATGTAATAGTTATTTTTACTAATTCTGTCAAGATTTTTTCCCCGTTTTCCCTCAGAACAATCATAAATTGTTGGTTCCAGCTGAGATAGCGCGACTGTCATAAAGTACACCTCCTCCTGGTTTCTCTGAGAAAAAGCCTGTCTAGACCTTGTTCAGCAAGCTAACCACTATTCTACATGTATTCCCTAACCAGTATCCTCCAGATATGTCAGACTACAACTAACATCATCCCAATGGCCAATGCTGACTAGTGATAATGAGAACTGCTGTCCAAAACATTTAGAATGTGTAAAATTGTATAAGGTTGCTCTCTATGTTCACTTTCTGATTCACTTGATGGAAGATTTCCATTAAATAAAACAAACATGCATTTAAACTGCCAGGAGAGAGAAAGCAGATGATTGCTATGTACACTTGCTGTCCATGTGCGCCTAAATGTTAACAAAACCATGCATTTTTAATACATTAGACTTGCAAAAACCATTAAAAAGCTGTTAAAAGTTGACATACCCCATGTCATTGCACACATTGATGGATGCTATAGGCCTCTGCCTGTCACAAGCAAGCATTCCCTGTCCATCATGAACATTAATTCAATCACTAGCTAACTCAGACATGTCACATATGTTAAACACAATGGTCTAAAAGTGACCCGAAGACATCACACCAATTTATATTCTTCAGCTTTTCTGGTGCTTGTTGACATACCAGGCTTGACATATCACTGAACAGTACAGCAAACAATAAAAATTGCATGTGAAATATTTTAACATCAGGTACCCAGACTGCCAAAACAAAGGGCAAGTTTGAAGAAGAGGAGGCATATTCACATGCAAAGAGCTGCCAGGTTTATTCCATTGTGACAAGGGGGATGAAAACTAAAATACCTCCCTCAAGTGACATCAAAGTTACATTTTAAGACAAAACAGATCGTCAGACACAATTCATGGACATCACCAGCCTATGAAATCTCAGAGACATTAAGACTGCTGGAGAAAGCCTCCACTGAAGTAACATTAGCAATGTTTTATTAGATTTTTTTTAAAAAAAACCATCAAAAATAAATATGAACAACATACAACAATAACATTTGAAATACAGATTTGGTGTATCTTCTATTACCTTGGTTTCAGTTTTAAAGAATAATATGTTTTGTATGACTTAAAACCAACTAGTTCAGCAAGAAAAAAATATTCTGTAGTCTTTTGAACATCCATTCATTGAGAACATTCATCAAAGTTTCACTCTCATCATTTATATGCTGGAGCTAAAATAAATGTGACAGATCCTGGATACATGTGTCACAGCGGCTGTCTTATCTGTAATTCATTATTGGTTATATATTATTACTTTGTGCACTGGTTTTTCAAAGGCAATTGAGGTTAAAGACGTTGGTGATTATAGTGTTGGTTTCACTGAGAGAAAGGGTGGTGCCTTTGGTCTTGAAGAAAGCAGAAGCGCACCCTCTCCTGTTTTAGATTTTAGACAAATATGTTAGACAACTATTGTCTTGTCTCTAACCTTCCCTTTTGGGAGAATGTTGTTAAGAAGACGGTCAGTTTGCAGTTGCAAGGAATCTTGGAGTGGATTATTAGACCCAAATCAAATGGATTTCGGTACTGAGATAGCCTTAGTTGCACTTGTTGACGACCTTGGTGGATCCAGTATAGAGGTAGCGCATCCGTCCTAGTGTTCTTTTATCTCTCAGTAGCCTTCAGTACTATGAACCAAATTCTTCTGGGAGTAGAAAATGTGGGATAATGATGTGGCTCCAATCTTTCTTCTATGGCTTTTTGTGTGGCTCCAATCCTTTTTCTATGGCTTGTACCAGTTGGCATTGGCAGATGTGAAGAGAGATGCACACCAAACCCTTATGTGAGATGCTGCAAGGTTCAATGCTCTCTCCTTTCATATTTAACATTTACAATAAGCTGCTAGGTGAGGTCATATGCTAATCTGGGATTTGGTATTATCCACATGCTGATGATACCTTTCTATTTCAGGTTGGTTAACTGAGGCTTTTGATGTTTGCACAGCTCCATCAGGTGTATGAGTCTTCCTAGATTGGGAGGCCCTTTAATCAGTCACCTCAAGGTTCAACAATTTGTTCTATATGGGACTGCCCTCGAAAAAATCTCAGAAGCCTTCAACCTGTACAGAATACAGTACATGTACAGTGATGGGCATGCCTCAATAAGCCCACAAGACACTTCTACTCTATGAGCTGCAGTAGTTGCCAGTATGTTTCCAGGTGTGATTCAAAGTGTTTCTGTTGTTATTACTATTATTATTAACCTTTTTAAAAATATGTTTGGTGAACTCAAGGCAGTGAACTTACCGATTACTGCTGACTCTTATATTCTTATGAAGAGCCCTATATGGCATAAAAGCAGGTTATTTGAAAGACTGCCTATCTCCTATGGCCTTTGCCCAGTCAGGACATGTTGGCAGAGTTGGTATGTTCTGGGTTTCTTTCATTAAACAGTGTTATTTACCAAGAAGCATGCCTGCCTTGTTATGGTACCTTTCTTTGGAATGAGTTCCCCTCTAAAATCCATGTAGCTCCCTTCCTATTGGTGTTCCATGAAACCTTGAAGGGAGGCAAGACCAAATAATATGATTCCATATGGTCCCATGTAGAAAAGAGTGAAACAATTGTGAACTTTGTATGGGATTTATGGCATAGTTCAAAACATGGGCAGAAAGAGCAAAGAAAACATTTTGAACTCTTGTCAGTCCCAAGGGGAAATCTACAATGTTTCCATCTTCCTCAGCCATTATCCTAGAATAAAAGGTACAAGCTCACTTTTATCTCTGGAGAAAACAATTTCACTTTTTGAAAAGGCCTAATGCAACTCTTTTTCACCTGGCTAATGGCCACAACTCTTAACAGGAAATTCTACCCCTTTTAGACCACAGCTGCATTTTCTCCTTCATAGTTTGATGTCCATAGACTATATATGTTTCAAAATGGTCAAGTGACTCACTGAAAAATAAGTGAATTTCCAAAATCCTTAGACAGCACAAGTTGATCTTAGGAGCAACTCATGTAGGGGCTGAAAAAGACCAAACAGCAAATTTGAAAAATCCAATGAGGTTTACAATTTGGGCTTGGATTGGATAATTTATATTCCTTCAGTCACAAATCTCAACAAAGAAATGTATTTATGATCATTTTAGAGGTGGAAAATGGGGGTATGATTACTGTGTCTCTGATACTACATCTTCTCAATACGATACAAGATATGCACACTATATTGTCATACATATGTGTACAATGTGAGTTCAAACTAAAATTCAGCAGCAAAGTCCCCATATTTTCCTGAAGACATTTTGATGATCACCTACTTCTATTTTTTTTAAATCTCTACCATAGTTCTGTAAGAATAGCAAGGCAGTATTTTTGTAAGGAACTTATTTACAATAGCTATAACAAGGATTAGAGAGATTAGAAAGTGCAGCCTTTTGTCTATCTGTAAAGATAGGAGTAATGGTTCACTTCTTGTGGAGAGGCTTGCTTTAAACCATTCATTCAGATTGCAGAAAGATGTACTTGGGCAAGAAAGCAGAACTTCACTCTATCCGCCCTTCTACCCAAAGCCCAATTCCCTCCCACAGTGATTCTTTGAAGTCAATCCCCTCCATTTACATCCCTCATTCAGGAACTCAGCTGACAGGAGATAGTGAGTTTGGAAATTCTTTGAATGACAGATTCAATTTATCCATTCATTGTGAAGCCACAAGAGCCTCTTGGTTGGCATTGGCTGTTCCAGACCCTGATTGCCAGAACTTTACTTCTACTTTTTGCCATTTACTTCTGATTCCTGTCAAAGAGTTACATCTCTGGCACCTAGGGCTGCACTGTAGTGTAAGAGAAAAAAGGCAGTAAATCACCAAATAAGGGGGATATCTCTCTACCTAAAGCAACAGGAACATGGCCAATCTGAGGAGAGCACAATAAAGTACTCCCAAAGAGTTTCTCTCCATTCATATTTACATTACTATCATATGAGATCCCAGCCATTGTGGTTTGTATAGCTTACTGAGCCTTTGTGGCTTATTCTATAAAATCAGGGTTTATTGTATTACCACGACCTGAAACCCACAGGGCATAGCCACTGGCTTAACCCCTCCCCCCAAACAAAGTACTTTATTTCCATCCAGTCTTCTCCATGCACATATCAGACTTGACTTCAAAAATGATGCATGGAGGCTGAGGAAGCAGGAAAGGCGGGACAAAGAGCAGGTTGGCAAGGAGAAGAGGGGGGCAAGGCACATCAACTCATCTCTACTCACTCCTTAAGACTTGTCCACAATTTGTTACAGTTAAAATCTGGAAGAATTCAAATGTACCAAATATTGGTTTGATCAGCTGGGATAGATCCAGAAGAATATAGATAAACTTCTAAGCCACAATTTTCTTGCTTTAGGTTTGAAGCAAAACATGTTTTCCTTTCCATGCACAAGATTGCCTAGGCAACAGGAAAATAGTTCAAGAACTAGATTGTTTATTTTATCTACTGTATTTATATCTTGCTTTTCATTCAGGACTGCAAGTTTACAGGTACAATACTCACTCCCCTGTTCCTTTTCTCCATAAGACAGCAACTCTTTGAAGTAGGCTGGACTGCCAGAGAGTGACTATGTCAGATCCGTGAATCTGCCATTCTTTGGGGGAAGAGGGGGACCCCATACTCCCTTTACACCTTTCTACCCTTCTTTCATATATATCCAATCCCATGTAATTAATCACTTTATAACTGCTAGCCTGTAGGCCGGGCACTTTCTCACCTTTTGGGGAATGGATAGGGAGAGAGAGCCATGTGGACTGCATCATTCAGGAAGGAAGCCTGAGAAAGTCTTATTATTTTCCCAGAGCGTCCCTTACAAACAACATCTTCACACCTGCAGATTGGCTAAATCCACATCGGACAGTTGGGAGGGGATTCTATCTTCTTTTATTCCTATTGTATTGTCTTAAGGGCCGCAGAGCCTGCTTTGTACGTTTCCATGACTGAGAATGGACTAGATCCCAGGTTGTCCCACTAATAGTCAACACTTTGATTACAATAGCATATAACAAATTTCTTACAAGAAATATGTCTTTTTATTTTCTTATTTAAGAGGTACTTCTTTAGACAATTTGCAAACATACCTGGTGATGGTGAATGCTTTTTATGTTGCAAGAAAAATTTTGGTACAAATGAAATTTGTTCACATTTTTTTCATTGACGTTTTTAGAAGTCACTTTTGCTAGAGATGACTGAATGCAAATATATCTTCTTTGACATCTGCATTTTTAAAACAAAAAAAATCCTTTAGTCAAGAAATTTCATCTGAATGATAGCAACACTAATAAAAATGACTTCATTGTATTCTAAATTTAATAGTATATTAAAACAAACTTATTTTACAAAATTAATTTGATATATTTCACTCATAATGCCAAGTTAGAAATGCGTTATGTGCTTTCCAAAAACTGATTCCCCCTCAAAATAATTTAATGACCAGATGACTACTAAGGAATATAAATTTTTCCATTCCCCATCATTGAGTCAGAACTGAAGAAGTTTACTGGATGAGCAGTGAAACATTTTCAAACAAAAAAACAAGAAAGATCATTTGCCATTTGAAAAGCACCTTTGGAACAACCATGACCTGGATGATTGAGAATCTCTATAGACATTTGATATCAAAATAGAAATTTTAATGCCATAAAAGGATAAATTATTAAATGCATGGCTTTATTTAATGCCTATTACATTTAACTTTAATTACATATAAATGAAGGAAATTGATTTTATTTTTTTTCATTCTGATCCTACATATTAGTCTTTGGAATAGACTCGTTTGATATGGCCCTTATAATTGGAGGACTGTTTTCATTCCAAAAAAGGTCCCCTGTACGAAATGATCTTGTGGATCTTGTGGATTGTTGCTTTTGTCTTATCTTAAAGTCTCTCCAAGAAAAAAAAATACAAATCAAACAAAATAATTTTTAAGAGTATAGTAAGACAAAGTCAATCTATATATATCATGGCTTTGTGCAAAAGTATTTGGAGCTCTCACCTGGCTTGGATCCCGTGGGGAGTTTGGACTAATCCCTAGCCTTCAAGTCTTCTGATTTTGAGACAGCCACAATTTAATTAAAGACTGAAGGGCAAGACTGCCTTATGTTACTGAAAACTGGGTGGTTGAGGAGGAAAGAGTTCCAAACTCAGAAATCTGCCTACTTAGGTTTCAGATTTGGTATTGGAGGGATGAATAGCTCCATTTTACAGAGTCAACATATTGCTCACAACAATCTGGGTCCTCATTTTACCAACTTTGGAAGGATGGAAGGCTAAGTCAACCTTGAGCCAGTCGAACTCCTGGCTGTGGGCAGAATTAGCCTGCAATACTGCATTCTAACAACTGCATCACCATGGCTCTTCAAGAGATGCTTCTTCATAGATAGATGTGAGACTTCATTTGTAATGCTTTCCAATACATCCTGTCGGCTTTCAGAGGACTTTTTGGGGAGTTTCCTGAGAATCTAGTGGGCAGTTTGACCAAGGGTTTGGTTGCCCAGTGGAATAAAGATCATTGGACTGGATTGCAACAAAGTGGCCAAAATACAGAACCAATACAGTCTCTTAGTTTATTGGCGAATTCGGGGAGAGGAAATGATAAGAGGAAATGCGAAAGAGGATTTCCTGTCTTATCTTGACTGGATTTTGGTACAAGGTATGACTGAGACTATACTGTGATGAGAGAGGGGAAGGGAGGGCAGGGAAAGGAGATTCTGCATTGGCTAAATGCCATACAATAGTTCATTTTAAGGCAACTTGATCTTTTTTACAGAATAACAGAGTTGGAAGGGCCCTTGGAGATGCTCCAGTCCAACCCCCTGCCTACCCCCAACCCTAAACCACTTCAGACAAATGGTTATCCATTAACTTCTTAAAAACATCCAGTGTTGGAGCATTCACAATTTCTGGAGGCAAGTTGTTCCACTGATTAATTGTTCTAACTTTTAGGAAGAACTAGACAATTCGTGTTTCACTGGGTCATCATTTCAGAGATATTTCCTTACCTAAACAGAGAAACATAATATTCACAGGCAGGAAAAAAAAAGCAGTGGGAGCAACTTCTGACTACAGCTTCTCCACTGCATTTCCTTGTGGAAATCTGGCAGGGAGATTGGAAACCTCCCTCCCTCCCTGTCCTTTCTTGCTCAGTCCCATTCACTTTTTTCATCCCTTCATTCCTGTTTCTTCTTTCCTTTCCTAAGTAGAGAAACAGAATGACCAAAGGCATGCAAAAAATTAGTGGGAATGGGAACATCTTCCGACTTCATGTCAGCTTCCCTATTGAATTTCTTTGTGGGAAGTTGGCAATAAATATCAAAAGTCTTCCTTCCTTCCTTCCTTTTTCATAAAATTTTGTCTGATCATATGGAAGAATATATTCAACCCAGAAACCAAAGACTTTCAGCAAATCTACAGGACTGGCAAAATGCAATGTTACCAATCTCTAACAAAAGGATATGTCTATAACAAAATTACTTACAAATTTCTGATAAAATCCAGGGTGTCTTTATCTTTAGCAACCATGTCAGCCAGTATATGCTGCACTCCAGATTTTACTTCCTCAATCGTGGAAAGTCCTAAAGGAAAATATTTGGTTTTAAGTACCAAATAGAATAATACCCTGCAAACATGGCTTTAAGAAGCTTTAAGGGGAACTTAAAAAATCCAAAAATCAACTGAAGATGAAAGTTATACAACACACATAGCAAGAATTGTTCTGGTGTCAAGCAAGAGAAGGTCACACTTCCGCTTACACCAGGCCTAAATGTTCCAGGCACTTCACATCCTTTTCCCAGCCACAAAAACAATGTTGCACATTTGTCTTCTATGCTGCACCTGAACTGAAACATTTCACAGCTAACTCAACCATATAATTCCCTTTTTCCAGTCAGCCTATGTGTCACAACAACTGATGGCGTCAAACCTGCTTCCTGCCCATTAAAATACACTCAGAATAGACACCTCTAGTTGTCTTTTTGATGAGTGCCAGACCTAGCCTGATGACAAGGCATTGAGAGAGTAATACAAAAAGTGTGAACCAATAGTGTTTCTGTTGCTAGGGAGGAAGTCTTGTGGAAACTATCATAAAGTTCAGTTAACAGTACTTCCCAGCTACAGAATTCATTTTAACAAAATGTTAGTAAATAGCATTTTGTTTTCAAAAAAAAATCTTGTTAAAAATGAACTGGAAAATCTCTTTAGGTCATTTTTCATATTAAAAAGAAAATCAGTACATTTTGCTATCTAAGATTGCCCCCTACAGATTTATCTATAATTACACTGTACTGTGTAAACATTATGCTCCAACTTATGAAACCAAAAAAAAAATCATCTTTCAAAATTAATTTTCTTTTTCTCAGAGGACAGAAGCAGTGAATTACAACACTTGCCCATCAGCTTTATTATCTTAGTATATAAATGAACAAAAATCTTAACGGAAAATGATTAACAAGCTAACTGTTCTGTGGGGAAAATAGTAAATAATATGATTATTACAGTTCAGGCCCCAGGCTTGGACAATCTGGCTTAAGAGAAAGCAGATGTAAAGATTGTCTTGTTTATAGCACTCTTTTTCTCACTTTACCACAAAGCATTATTGTTTCCTCTGATCTAAATTAATGTTTACTAATAGTCACTGCATACTTTACCTAAGGTCATATCTGTGCTCCATTAGACTCAGTCTCCCTCCTGCATACAAAGAAAACCTTGGAATGGTGTTATGGAATGAATGACAGACCCAAACCCACTTTCCTTAACTCCAAACCATCTGTCCTACTATATAAGAAAACAGAGATAAAGCAAGGATATCTAAGCACCACTAACAGAAAAAGGAAAGAGAGATAATAAATGAGTGTAAAAATGAGATTGTAAAAATCACTCTGATTTTATATGGTAGAAAACGGGGCAGATGGAAACTCTCAAGCTTTCACGATTCTGTGTTTGGGCGTGCAACAATAGGCTAGAGTTCCAGCAATCTTTCCATTGCCTATGCCTAACCTGATCTTTCTCAAAGAAGCTGACATCTATCTCCTTCAATCATCTCCTTATTGATTAAGTGCAGATTTGCCTCGTTTTATCTTTTTGAAGCACAGTCACTAATCTTTTTATATTTTATATTACAATGTGTTGAAACTCCTGTAGTTTTAATCTACGTATGGCAGCTTACTAAAACAGGGATGCAAACTTCATTATCTTCTAAATATTTTCATTCATCAGGAGGAAACTGATGTTGTTGAGGCTCATTTGGGATCAAAGACATTTAGGCGTTCTTGATTTACCTCAGCCTTTCCACCCTAGACATCTCTAGGGATGGTAGAAAACAGCACATGGTTTTTTTACCAGCCTGCTAGAAAACATGTTGCTTTATTGGAACTAACTTCTTTGTCAAAGTAAATCTCGGTCATTTTATTTTATTCAAGAGTATTAAGCATATTTAAAAACGTTTGTATGCCTGAATAAGCCTGAGGATTATTGGTGAGGAATGGAAATGTTATACATGAACAAGCATGTAGAGCCAACAATATACAGTATTTTAAAATGACAAAGGGAACCTCAGTGAATTGGGGTGGGGGAAGATTTCTCCCATCTACCTAATTAGTTTCTGTTCATATTCAGCAAGCATCTGAAGAACAGACATAGAGAGAATATTATCTCAAGCCAGGTTAATCTACCCAGTGCTGCTTCTATTGATTATCACCAGGCGTCCAGAATTTCTAATCAGGACAATATATAATTCAGAAAAAGGTGAGATCTGCTACAAACAAAGGCTTTTGCTGTTCTCAAAGGGGCTAGTGGAATGGAGTGGAATGCAACAGAACAGTTGGAAGGGACCTTGGAGGTCTTCTAGCCCAACTTAGGTAGGAAACCTTACACCACTTCAGACAATATTCACAGTCACTCTTACTCAGTAAAGTATTTCTGTTTATATGCTCTAATGCTTCTAAAAGATACATGCTTACCTTCGACATTGGACTTGACATAAAAGAGTAAGTTGAGTTCCTTCGGATTCTGAATAAGCAAGTTGGCTGCCTGTTCCAAGCCCAACTGTTTAGCTCTTTGTGCTTTAGTTCCTTTGCTTCCAGTTTTATAGGGTGCATACTGTAATAGGTAATATTATATATCTAAGCATAAGGGATGGACACACACACACACACACACACACACTTGTGTATGTGTTTGTGCAAGCATGTGTATGTATGTAATTTTGTTGTCACAAATTTTCAATTTTTTATGCTTTATCTGTCTACAGGATGAAAACAAAGTGATGATATGTAGTATCTAGAATCACAGAGTTATCAGAGTTATCAAATTGGTCCAATGGCCTCCTAATTGATTCCCTATACAGGTAGTCCTGGTCTTACAACAGTTCATTCAGTGACCGTTCCAAGTTACAATGGCGCTGCAAATAGTGACTTGTGACCATTTTTTTCACACTTACGATCATTGCAGTATCCCAATGGCCACATGATTTACATACAGATGCTTGATAACCGATTCATATTTATGATGGTTGTAGAGTTTAGGAGTCATTTTGTGACCATCTGACAATCAAAGTCAACAAAGAACCCAGATTCACTTTACAACCATGGTACTAATTTAACAACTGCAGGGATACATTTAACAAATGTGGCAAGAAAAGTCATAAAATGGGACAAATTCTCTTAACAAATATTTAACAATATAAATTTTGGGCTCAATTGTGGTTGTAAGTTGAGGACTACTGTACAGCATTTCCAGGTTTTTTTTTCCCTAACATTCAGTCCGAACCTTCCTTGTTAAATCTAACATTACAGTTTTGCCTCTTAATTGTTTTGGACATCCCAGTGAAAATAGCCAAAGCCTTCCTGACCCACACAGTAAGCAAGCCTGCCATATACAGTATACCCATAACTTATCCTTAAACTGCTTTATTTAAAAATAATTATTTAAAAATATAGTTATAGTCATCATTATTCTTTTAATTTAGGTTAACACATGGTAAATTGTGACATAGCTGGTTTTTCTTAGCTCAGTGTGCTGTATGAAATCAGCCAACCCTAATATTTAACCCATGATTTATATTTTGCATAAAGTGAGAATAGAACTGAATGTCACTTATTCAATAAACATTGACTATTGTGTGTGTGACTTCAATACTAGAAGCAGACCTTACTGAAGACTAAATGTTATTTCTAAAGTTGGCATTATATAATAAGGTAGACCAAGAATGTATCTGGAAAATGAAACCCAGGCTTCCTTTAGGAAGTCTTTATTAATAAAAAGGTCAATAATTGCTAACAATATTTCCTGGGTAGGAATTCATTCATATTCCTTAATCTTCTCCTATGATTCATAACTCCAAAATTAGACATTTCAAGTCTAATTTTTAGACTACATGTTTATAACATAATTCTATATAATTATGAAAATCTAACACTGAGTTTTATGAGAATTCCCACACTGTGGGGGAGGGGAATAGGGTAGTAGTCTTAGTTCACAGGGAATAAAAATGTGACTTATAAAAGCCAGCTTCAAACTGTTAACTAAAAGCAATTATGCAATGAGAATGTTTTGAGCAAATGCCTCCTTCAAAGGTAAAGAAGTTTCATGTCTCTGTACATACTATACTGATTGAAAGGAGAGAAATATTTCAGCTAACACTGAAGCAGTCTTAACTCAATTTTCACTACGTGGAATAGCAAAGAAAGTGCCTTACTTTTTTTCTATTTTAGATCTATTTTTGTTCCAATTGGTATAATAGATTTTGGATTAAAAATATGCCTTGGTGAAATTCAAAGAGATATCTTTACAAATAATAATAATAACTACAATTAAACCTATATTTACCAAAGCTTAATGAGACAGACTTTGCATGCAACAGATCAAACTTTGACTGTGCTTTTCATCACTAGTATAATGTTATATAGATGCAAAAATGGAAAAATAATGTACACGGCATTAATACTAAAATCCCTATGCTCTAATTCAATGGACATTGCTGAATAACAGATTCTTTCTTTCCACTTCCAGTAACCACCATGAGCCTTGCCTCTTCCTTGCTTTTTATGCTTTTGGTAATCTGCCTTTGTAACTCTCTCTTGCCTGAGAAAATAGCTTGTGTCATATATGAACCAGGATCGAGCCATATTTTAGTGGCATATTTCACATGTGCTGCATTAAGAGATCCCAGTTCTTTGATATTCCGAATAAGACTGGGAAAATTAAAACCTTAAATTGTGTAGAACTGTTATTAGATAATATAGTAATGATGTAACCTAGTATAAAATGGCTTCTAAGAAGTTATGGCCACCATTTCCATAAAAGGATTTAGCAATGTTTGGAAAAAATCCAGCTCACAATAAGTTATATGAAAATTTCCATTAAGATATTATACTAACCACATGATCCAGCTGCTCCAAAGTTTTACAGTTTAATAATGCAGTTAAAACACTTTCTGACAGCTTTCCTTCTTTTTCAAGTTTTTGTATTGAGGCATGCACCTTTTTTGCTAAAGTCCTAAAACCAAGCATAGTTAGAAGAATTAAAAATTTGTATTTAATAGAACATTTATATAAATACTATTCCTAACATTGGTGCATCCTTGAGTAGTATCACCTCACTGTGAAACCTTCTATATATATTGTTCATAGGACTCTCAGACTGAACAGTTCCATTGGCTTAGTAAAAAAGGCACTTTCTCAAGTGAAAATCATAACCAATGGATGAGTAGCTTCTTCTTGTAGAAACACAGTTAAGGTAATCAGTTTTCATTGAAAATGAGTTTTCAAGTCAATCACCTAAATGATAATGTACTCTTTTATTTAAATTTACCTAAGAAATAAAATGAAGAGCTATTAAAAGTCACAATGGGAAGATTAGACAGGCCACAGACGCACATACTTAAAACTGTCAATTTCTCAATTGTAATCACAAACAAGAAAAGGGAAGATTTGGATTCTGATGATTACGCTCAGTTTCCCATTATGCCCAAATCTTGGATCATTTATGTTATTGAGTTTTAAACAAATTTATTTTAGTTTTCTTGAATTTTAAAGAAAACTAAAATCAAAGCTAGTTTTGCTTTCTCTATTGCATTTACTCCCCTCATAATACTGGCCATTCAAGTGACTGAGATGAAGATGGGATTGCTGATAGATACTATTGGATGACATCTCTGTCCCAAGAATTGCGGAATGGCTAGGAAGTTTCCAAACTTTGTTAAAGGCTGCTTTCTAGTTGGAACAAGCATAGGGGTTGTCAAGTTCTCTAACAACTGCCTAGTAACAAAGTGATTCTTTCCAACTAGTTTCTCATGGAATCTCTTTGACAAGATTTATTGAGGAAGACTGTGGTTACAAAATCTTTAGCGGATAAACAATTTTCTACTTAGAATCAGCCTTGGGACAGAGACTTTCAAAAAAAAAATCCCCAGTTGGGTTCCCTGATATAGACAGGCAATATTTTCACTGATAACTACAAAGTTTGCAGCTGGCTGCAAATTTCTTACATCAATCCAGGAATTTTAAAAAGGAGCCTCTCCATGTTTGAAATGCAGACGTTATGAGATCTGTAAGCATTCCATGAACTTCTCTGTTAACACTTGCAAGGCTGCAGTAATTGCTTAAAGTGCTGCTTACTCTCCCTTTCTACCCCCATCCCAATGCTTTAATACATACTGTAGTTCTTCCATTATTTGTTGCACCTCACGCAGCACATCAGCTTCCAGATTATTGATAAGTTCCTTCCGATACCGAACAATAAAAGGGATTGTATTATCATCATTGAAAAGCTTGATTATATTGGCACACACCCATGCTTCAATGTCAGTCCTTTGCGACAAAACCTGCAATCCACAGTAAAAAAGCCCAAGTATGAATTTCTCACAAAAGATTCTGAAAAATGTTAAACTTGGAGAAAAAATGGTTGCAGCTATCATCTTACAGCAATCTACTTAATACGACAAACATACAAGAATATCGATCTCTATTTATTTACAAACCTTACTTATTTTTCATTCTTAAAACCATATCCCCAAAATGATTCAAATGAAAACTAGGCCTGAATCATTAACTTCATTAAAAGAGAATGGAAAAAAAAAACCTCTATGGTTGTTACTCATGACAGGTGACTCGTTTAACACAGGATCTAAATGGCATTTCTTGGAGTTCTAATAGAAAAAATGTTCACAGGTATCAATCCAGTTTCAAAAGTAAGACTTTTGAATTGAGAGATACAATCCAAATGTTTAAAGAATCCTAACATGCCCACAAAATGTCTGTTATAGTTTGGGTGATCAGGGGCAAGCATGCATCCATCCATTTACTAGAGGAGCAGTTCTATACACTGTCTACATTTCAGCTTCCACTAAATTTTCTCTTTTCCCAGCACTTTGGCCTACTGTAACTAATCAATGTTGGGGGAGAGGGAGGGAAGAGGATTAGAAGCTTCTTAGAAATAAAGAATATCATTGAAGCAGATGTTTGCTAGAATGGGGAAAAAAGGGGGAGGGAGGAATTTTAAGCCTAGGAGAAATAAATAAAAGCAATGATGAGGATGTTTATTAGAATGGCAGCTTCCTTTAAAAATTACTTTAAAAAATAAAGTTAATAAAAAATAAAGTTTTCCGTCAGCAACTGAGGGAAAACATTTATTATATAATAGGGGCCCATATCATCAAACTGCCTACCATGCTCTTGGAAATGTGTGAGATGCTAAACGAACAGCTTCACCACCCACTACAATGATTAGTATTTTTTTCTTTTAAATTACAAGACAAAAAAGAAATAGAAGGACCCCTCATCTGATTAAAATAATGATAAACCCTTCCTTCCTCAATATTAAAAGACACTGTATATGTTCCCCAAAACACTCAAAAAACTGAAACATGGCTCTCATTTTAGTGTGATAAAAAATATTTCATTGGAGCTAGAATATATTTTTAGTACAGCATAAGCCAAACTATGATTGACCCGGAATGTTTTCTTTTACCATATTTAAAATCCTGGAATATTTTATAATCTTTCACCAGCAAAAGTTGAAGACAGCATTAAAAAATAGTCTTTCATAATTTTTCTTTACAAATAACAAAATAACATTTTTTTATATTTTCTTGTGAAAAGTAATACTAAATGTAACCTTCCATAGCTAATGCTCAGGATAAATTCTCATTATAAATAGAGGAGACAATGTGCTTTGTTTTATAAAAATAAAGGCAACGAAATACTTTTTGGAATAAATCCAGATGAGGTATTATATACATCAGAAATTAAATGAACATACAACTTCACTCTAGAGAGTTTCCTCCTGCAGTTTAAACGTATGTTAATTTTGTTGTAAACAGCAAAGCATTACATACCTCTACAATGTCCCAGTTCATTTTATGGTCCCCATTCAGTTTGTCACCTGCCACATATTTTATACATTTCTCCTGCGGACATCCTGTTTTAATTTTTTTTAAGGGAGGTTCATCAAATGTAAAATCTTCTTCAGACTCTTCCACCTTAATTTTTTGTTTAGACACTGTAGCACTTGTGGATGGTTTATCTGCATTTACCAAGCCAGGTTCAACTTTAATGCTGCCAACTTTCTTCACTGGGGTTTTTTTGGTTGAACATTTCACATTGACATCTTCCTCTGTCATTTTTTCTGTTCCTCCAGGTACGGCAATAGGCAGAGATGAGTCCTACCCAAACCACCAAAACACATTAAGATTATTATTGAGCACAGCCAGTCTGAACATAAACACCATCAATGACTTACTACCTATCATCATTTCCTTTGGGATTGTGGAACTAATGTCATCGAGTAGGGGAAAGGCTACTACAGATATCAGTGTTCTGCTTAGTAAAATGTAAGTGCAGAAAACATAAGTGCCTCAGGAAAGACTATTGTTACTGTCACTGCATACAGGTCAAAAATCAGAAGCACCTGAAGATAACTGCTCTTAAAGCCAACCTATTTTCTCTTTTAATCCAAGATTTAAGATCCAATGTGAATCAGTTTTTGGTCACAAAGTTAGAACAAAAAATGATTAGCCCTAATAAAATTTGCTTTCTATGGTAACAGATTGCAATTAAGAGTGTTGTGCACCATATGTGTAACTCCAGGAAAGTTATTTGGGACTGCCTCTTCACAGCAGTTTTTCCCTATTCAGTAAGATCTGGAAGGGAAGGCTTCTTTTGGGTCCTTACTCAAAAAAAAGGGAAGCCAATGGTGGTCCATTTCTCTTGTTGCTGCACACACACACACACACACACCCTTCTTCGCTTATGACCATTTGTTCAGCGACAGTGCAAAGTTGTGATTGTGCTGAGCAAAAGGGACATGATGTGTCTTTGGAATTCTGGCCATCACAGAACCCCCATGGTCGTGTTAGTGTGTTTTCTGACATTTCCTACTGATTTCCCACAAGTGAAGTCAACAGGGAAGCCTACAGGAAGCTGGTCCTGGTTTAACCATGACAATTAGGACTGCTGGAATAGTCATTGATATGCAGAGTGGTCAAGTGACACTCACCTTTACCACCCCTTAGCTTAGTAATGGCAATTCTGGCCCCAACTGCTGTTGGAAGCCAAGGACTATTTGGATTCCTTCCAGCAGGACTTGAATTTTGGTTGCTGTTCCTTGATACAGTGTGACAGTACGAGGTGAGCAAGTTATTGTTTCCATTTGATTTATGATAAGATGCTCCAACATATATCCCAAAGGTTCAAATGCAAATATAAATGCATATTTCAAGGAACTTCACATCAATTATGCTGAATAAATTACAGAGGTTAAAGTGACTCAGGGAAAAAAACACATAGGGCAGATCTTTCTTGCACGTAGCACAGTGTACATGCATCTGGAGTTCCTATTTTTCTATTCCAATAAATCAGATAATTTAGAAGTTTCAGTAGGTAAGCCAGGTTGTTGGATCTATGCAAAAGAACTGAACCAATCAGGAGAATTTGAAATGGTGATGAACACAGATAAATCTCCACAATATAATCTTTGCTTTCTCTTTCTCTCTCAAATGTTTTGAAAACTAAATGGCTTCCTAGCTTCAATTACTTACCGGCTCCTCTTTTATCATTAGCTTCTTAGTACCTTTCTTAGCTACAGTAGTTTTCTTCTTAGTCAATGATTTTTTTTCAACTCTTGGCACTTTGGGTTTTGGCACTTTGGCCTTACGTGAGACTTTCTTTTGGGGCTCCCATTCCTCTTCATCTTGTTCATCTTCTGATTCTGAAGATCTGCCCAAGATAGGGGAAAGTTTGTAATAAATGAAATTATACAGAGCACTGTCCTTAAAGCATGCAGGCCTCAATATTTAAACAAATATTGTTCATTATTAAAATTATTATTACAATAATTATTATTTAATATTTATTATTTAATTATTATTTAATTATTTAAACAAGAGAGTTGCATGCATTTAGACCATAAAATGTATATGCTGTCCTAGACAAAAGATTTGCGTAGCTCACAATTATGTAATCCACTTCATAATCAGTAAATGAATTTTTGACACAAAAGTATCAAAATTCATGGTGAATGAAAACTTATATTTTATTTATAACAAGTGATAGAATGCCAATCAGACTTAATCTGTGACTTATCTTGCCCAACACCGGAAGCACCTGTCTTTTCAAAGTTCACATAATGTTCTAGAAGGAAATTGCCACCATGCAATGTGAATACAATAGTAAGCTGTTAGCTACTGCCACTAGCAATTTTGCTGGAGAAGCACTCCAGTGTTACACAAAGTTATACAATTTTAAGCAGTTATTCATAGCCTGGTTTTGTATTTTGACCTTGCAATTGTATTTTGACCTTTGCATTGATTCAAACATTTTTGCAATCAATCCATAGCAAAATTTCTCTGCATAGATTTCACAAACTAAAAGAATAAAAAACATAACAAAACCAGCAACAGCATTTAATATGGCTGGACAAGAACAAAGTGCACAAAAAGAACAATTCTTGTAATTCCATCCCTAAATTCCATATCCAGGATATAGCAGGCATTTTAATTTGAATAAATTTCATATTTGTGTTTATCCATTTTTTCCTTTCTTGTTTTTATATCGTGAGCTCATAGGGGAGGAGAAGCCAAACCTAGAAACAGTGAACATAGTGAAGCAGTATGCAAAACATAATCTCACTCTTCTTTCGAACTTATTAGTTTTGTTAGGCTTTATGAACAAGTCAAACAAGCCAGGAAAAAAAGGTATGTACACACTTATTCCTCTAAACTTCAACCAATCCCCAAATGCTACAATCACTAGATGTTGTCCTAGTACCAAATACAGGTACAAGGATTGAATAGAAATTAGAACACACTTATCATAAAGTTTAACTCACGATTTAAGGAAGGAAGGTAGTTCATCTTCTGAAATGTCTGGTTTCGTTGCAGTTCTTTTCCGTTTAGGGAATGCTGACATCTGAGAAAAGAAAAATAGTTTTATCTGTGAGTTTTCCCCCATTTCTAAGAGACTGCAAAAATATAGATGGATGCTGCCAATTGCAAATCTGTTATTTTTGAACAGGCATCCTTGAATATCTGAATCAACAACAGATTCAACACATTGAATTGAAAAATCTGCTCTGATTTTTTATATATCAACAGATTTGACACGGAATCGAAAAATCTGCTCTGATTTTATACACATCTGAAAGCAATATACATAGAACAATGTACCTTTATCTTTCATTATCTTTTATGTTGTCTGTGTATGGATCTTTAAGTAATCACTAGTACCATCAATGTACAAGAAATAAGTAGCTGTAAGCAAAGAAAAAACCACTCTGAGGCCATGTCTAAAGTCTTAGATGGAGAATATGAGAAATTTAAACATCCATTCATCAAGTCAGCCTAACAGATTTTACTGGATTTTGGGAAAGGTAACATGAAATACCTTATTTCTTAAGTGCGTGCATGTATGTGTGTGCGTGCGTGCGTGTAAAGGGACAGATAACAAAACAATCTAATAAAGATGGAAAATGACAAGTGGTCATAAAATGCAGATCATGAAGGAAAAGACCCAAGCGGCAACGAAGGGCTAGCTAGGAAAAACGGAGACTGGACTATAAAACCATCACTCAAAAATGCTAGCATTCACTTGCCTTCTGCCCAATGGTGAAATTCATTTTTTTTTTACTACCAGTTATGTGGGCGTGGCTTGGTGGGCGTGACAGGGGAAGGGTACTGCAAAATCTTCATTCCCACCCCACTCAAGGGGAAGGATACTACAAAATCTCCATTCCACTCTACTTTGGGGCCAGCCAAAGGTGGCATTTGCCGGTTCTCCAAACTACTCAAAATTTCCCTTACTGGTTCTCCAGAACCTGTCAGAACCTGCTGGATTTCACCCCTGCTTCCATCCTGCCAAAATGACCCCGGGACAGAAGAAAGGGAAAACAGGATTTAACATCTTGAAATCAGAACCCGATCACAGAAAGACAGGACCTTAAATCAATCATACACCTTGAAGTATGTAAAAAGGTCTACTCAAGAGTTTTGAAGTCACTAGCCTCAGGAATGCTGACCTGGTCTGCCATTTGTTTTCTTGAGAATAAACAAATAAAAAGCTTTCATGCAGCTGCTTCCTTGAATCCTTCCCCATATCTCCCAGCCCTAGCAAAGGGAAAGGTTTTCCCTTTCAACAAACCAAATCTAAAGCATCGGAACCATGAACTAGTTGCATGGTTGCGCTGAGATTCCTTCTTTACAGAATAACAGAGTTGGAAGGGACCTTGGAGGTCTTCTAGTCCAACCCCCTGCCTAGGCAGGAAACTCTACACCTCTTCAGACAAATGGATATCCAACATCTTCTTAAAAACGTCCAGTGTTGGAGCATTCACAACTTCTGGAAGCAAGTTGTTCCACTCATACTCGATATTTCATAAACCAGCAAAACTCCTGCGAGGATAACGAAAATAAACCTCTTTTTTGTTAATCAAAACAGATGGATAGCAACTCTCATGAACCTAGCAGCCCTAGAGGTTCCCACGTTATGCACCTCCCTGAACGTCGCGACCTCCCCAGTTCACCTTTTTCGAGCTTTGGCTAGGGGAGGATACGAAATGCCGCCGTTTGTTTCCCCTTCCCTATTATAAGCCTGCGTTCATATTTAAAACCGGCGCCAGCAGCGACTGCAGCAAAATCCAAGCTTTCAAAGCGGAGGAAGCAGCGACCTGACCGAGGGGAGGGGCCGGAAGTAATCATCGAAGCAGCTCCGGCTGCTGTCGGTGACAATGAAGTCCCGGCGAGTCGCTTCCTCTTCGGATTAGCCCGAGTGGGGTTTTTTTTTTCCTTCTCTTCAAACTAGAGAACTTTACACTGTGTGGACTTCAACTCCCAGAATTCCCCAACCAGCGTGTGACAATGAAGGCGGCGGGAGCGGCGCGCCTGAGTTTCCGCAGATGCTCCAGCGAAGCGGACTCTAACGCGATGCCGACGGAAAGAATCTTCCCCCTTGCTCGCTGGGTCTGGTTTACTAAGCCAGGGGTTTTCAACCTTGGCAACTTTAAGACTTGTGGACTTCAACTCCCAGAATTCCTCAGCTGAGGAATTCTGGGAGTTGAAGTCCACAAGTCTTAAAGTTGCCAAGGTTGGAGACCCCTGTACTAAGCGAATAAGCCTATCTTGGAAGACTCGCGAGAAAAGCTAACTTCCAGCGGAAAATATTTCTACTGTTTTCCCGTTTGGCCACTAGGTGCTCCTGTTTACCTGGCATCCCCAGTTCTGAAGCATCAGTTCGTTGTTTGTTTACCGGCAATAGGTGTACATCTCACTTGTTCTGCCAAGCGTTGTACAGCCGTGTCCGTGTTATGTTATTGCCAGGCAATAGGAGGTCGATGCGATGTTTTGGAATTCCCATTTTTCTAAGCACATTCCACAGCTTGACATGACCCACAGGGCTTTTCTATAATCAATAAAGCACATAATGACTCTTTTTTGTATTCTTTTG